AAACATTCAATAATATTAAGCCATCTTTGGTAGTCTTCCTGACAGTTTGGTTCAATTCAATGCCGCAAACTTCTATGTCATATTTAGTTTCCATTTCCACCGTCACAAGACGATGAGAGGCAAGAAAATTGAGGTCCACTTGGGGAAACAGCACGCTAAACTATCTCTGAGAATCCGTGTAGGGAGTTAAACCTGCTATGGAAGAAGTTTATCTTTGAAGATTAGTTTAAGAGAGAAATAAATTGATTGCATTTGGTGCATGTCACAAATCAGTTTAACGTTGAGTTCAACTCATTTTAAAACATATTTGCCTGGAATCAGATCAGTTCAGCTCCTAAACTGCTGTGGTCCATGTCACCTTATGCAGCAAAGGAAATGCTTTATAAACAAGTCCATTCTTTATATCATGTAAGTACTATGTGGGAAATACTTCTAAGTTAGCATAGCGCTGCAGCTGAAGATGTGAGACCCACGAAAGGTCAAAACAAGACTAGTCCAAGGACAGTTTATTTTTAGAAATCAGTTCATGAATTTTTGCTCTGTGGGTTGTTGTGTTTTGAAAGTTAAGGATTTATTTTTATTATTCAAGGTTAGAGCCTGAGGCCCTTGAAGAGCGCACCGCAACATTAAGAAGAGACCGTCAGCAACTCATTTATCGAAATTGCTTCTGTACCTCTTTTAAAGGTCATCTTGTGTTTTTGATAAATATGCAATATGTCCATCAAGGTATGACTCAAAAATAATCAGTCACAATTCAGTAGAAAAGTACTTTATTGCCAGGAAACCCCCATGACAAGAGACTCTCGCGCATTTTCTTCTTTGTGGTCATCCCAAAAGCGAAATTATCACCAACGATCTGACACCCGTGCAGGGCAATAGGCTTGACATCTAGCAGATCGTCTAGAAGCCTTGTGTTTTCCCCGTTCTCCACAATATTGGAGTATGAATTCAATCCGGAAACTGTAAATTTGGTTCAAATAAGCTCCATTTTAACATTGATCACCTGAAGTGGGATGGTTTTTCATTACTCCTGCACCATTCCATTTGAATGAATTTAACACTTGCTTGGTGAACTCTCTTTTTGATTAATATGTTACGTCCGTAATGCTGGAACTCTCCCAGCCAATTCATTTTTGAGCTACAAAAGACGTCATTTGGCATGAAGAATGGCGATGGTCAGTTCTTCTTTTCTGAAAATGTGGAAGCTTCAGGTCAAGCCAAATCAGATAAAATTGGAAGGGAAACAGCAGAACGAAAACCGTTGTCTAAACTGTTACGTCAGTAAACACAACGTGAATGGCCTTCCTTTTTTTCATCCATGGGAGAAATGAGGCAATTTTGACCGGAATAGGTACAGGTACCTGTGCTCTATAAGGCATTGTTGAAATAGACTTTCTGGACCAAACCATCTTTAAGATATAACATCATACATGATTTCATTTTGAGTGTGGTGTTACGTCAGTAACTTTTGAACTGCCCTATATTCAAATGGTGGAAGGGGATGGGAGATCTCGGTGCAGAGGGTCAAGGGGAGGGGGACAAAGTATGCTCTACAGCAGGGAGCTGGGGATTTGTATGACTCCGTCTTATAGGACGGCTCGTAGGGAGCTGGGGATTTGTATGACTCCGTCTTATAGGACGGCTCGTAGGGAACTGGGGATTTGTATGAATCGTAGGAATCTTTTAAGTCATAAGCTATTAAAGATAGAAAAGACCAAGTATTGCACCGTTTACACCGACGAATAGCGGTATGGCAAGAATTTAAAGAAGAAATTCTGGGGGGGGGGGGGTTGAACCCCATGAACCCCCCTAAATACGGCCTTGAAAGGGAGAGGGAGGGGAGGGCAGAGTTGGAGACCCCCTTGTCTATGCCTCGGGGGGAGGGAGGATTAGCCACAAAATTTGCTGGACATTACATGGCGAAAAATCTCTCTCGTCCCCCCTCCCCTCATACACGTGCTACGCGTATGTGCAGCTACAGAAGCTGCTGACCATTATCTATTTCGAAGCAGCAGACAATCTTCTACCTCTGAAAATCCTTGTAAGGCACTACAAATATAGCCAGGGGGACGTGGAGAGACGAGAAAGTTCGGAGAAGACTGGGGAGAGGATGTAAACAGGCTAAATGTAGGCGAGTTCACTGCCCTTGCTCGCCCAGTAAAAGATTTCAACTTGAATGCAATTTGACGCTGACTAAACGCATGCATAAACAGGCTTCTAAACTGAACGCAATCATACAGTCCTAAAGCCTTGGGAGATGTAGAAGTTGCTCTTCGCTTAGTTCACGACATTGAAGACAACACAATGAGGAGCAAATCATTACATGAACTCCGGCATGACTTCTTATAAACCCATAAAAAGTGATTCTAGTTCTCACTATACTTGCACTACTCACTATTCTGTCACCTGGGCATTCTAACAAGAGTGAGTGGACAGTATATCGAATGAGGAGGGCTCCGTTATGTCACCAGGTCAGGAATCCCATCCCCATCGAACCACCTCGCGAGTGCCAATATGGCGATGTCCACGAACTCATTATCATCCAGCTGTTTCAACCATCAGTCAGTTTGAAGACCTAGGTCTTGGTTCTATGATAGTCTTAGTCATACAAGTTCTAAACTCTTCTTAATAATAAGGCAGCCTCTATAATAATATTAATATCAAACCATCATTATCCTGAGTTGACATTACAATAGTTGAGTAACTTAGGCCTAAGATGGTGACGCTTAGTAAATTGTGTATTTGACCTACAGCAAATCAAAATTGAATTCGTGGACGCAGGTCGAGTTCGGGCTTGTAGAATAAGTTTCACAGCTGGTCCAGGATAGACAGGCTCGGAGCTATAGATCTGATCCGAAGTTATCCCTGTAAGTCTTGGTTCATCTTACCTCTATTGCAGGTTAAGAACCCCAGCTCTATTGCAACCTAAAGTACATCCATTAATGATGTGACTGCTGCTTGATTTATGCTCTAAGAATCTGGCCAATCATATCTAGAGATCAACCAATACTGGATTTGACCGATTTTGCCGATTCTGATATTGGCCGATATATGAAGCCGATAGCCGATATTTCAGCACAAAACCATAAAGATTCATCAGCACTGCTTCATTTACTTCAAATTTTCCCTGATGAAGAGTAACTTTTCAGCATTTTCCTGATCTCCCTTTCATAGAATATCTCATGAAATACGCCTGTAAGATGTATGCCTACCAGCATGAAATCCTCCAAGAGGCATTCTTGAGCATACCTTGATTGTGATTCAGGAATTAGCTTCTTTATCCATTGTTCTCAACCAAAGGTGATGAATTCCAACTTATAGAGGAAGAACTTGTTAGTTTTTTTATACACCTGGGATGAGAGGGGTGCCACTTTTTCTGCCTGCTGAACATGCAGTGCCGACTGTTGCAGTCATGGATCAGAAGCAGGTCTTGAACCTAGACCCACAACATCACCTATGGGGCCTTGCTTTCCACTTGGTTGACTTGCAGGTTGCTTTTAAATTTCTGTATCTTCCTCCCTTCTTTCCTTTCATTTCTCACTTTGGCAACTAATGATCTCAAGCTAACATTTACATGACAAATAACAGTTTCTTAGAATCTTTATCCACTCGAAAAAGTTTCCACGAATTTTTGTGTAGGAAGATCGCCATTCCAACTTGTCCCCCCCCCCCTCCAGTCCAATTTTTTCCCATTCACTTATTTAACACGAAGAACAGAACTGTGTCTGAGACACTTTGCAACTGGTTACCTAACGAATTGGGTAAGCGACAGGTAAAATTTTAGAATGGGTGCTTGGTCACTTTTTCTTGACAGCTGAGACTGACTTGGTATCGAAGTCTGCGTCACGAAAGAGAATGGTTCTTTTGTGGTTAAACAAGGGAGGGTCTTTAGGACAAGTTCAGGCCTACGCTCATGCAACATTTTAGCCTACGTTTTAGACCCTGGTTAAATGGAACGTAATGTAAGGCAGCAGGCCAAAAATTACATACAAGAGTTTAATCCTTGAACAGGGTCAGGAAATGGCTGGAGTCCCACTCTCCATGTCTGCGAATTAAATGAATAGTCCTCATACTTTCGGACAATCATCAGCAAAACCTAACCCTTAGGGCGAAGGTCTATCGTTTTAGCCATTGAATTTCCCCTTAGCCGTGTATACGCCTAACTTCTGTGTACAAGAATAAGGACAGAAGCAGAGCGAAAGACTTGCAGTTCCTCACCTCTCAATGATGCCATATTGGCCAGAACACTAATACGCCAAGGTTTCCATTTGGAAGTGGAAGAGCTAGTCTTAGTAAAATTTTCTTGCACTGGAAGATTATACAGAACTGTATTATTGATATTGGCCAAAATCGGACTGCATGAAAGAGCCGATGTGAATACTCATTAATTTGCATATATCGGCCAATTTATATTGGCAACTGATATATTGGTCGATCTCTAAACATATCCATATTTGTTTTCAAAGTATATGGAATAATTTTCCCATGGATTCATGAGTGAAAATCATTATCGATGTTTGGACCTTTTATGTAATTCAAAGTAGAGTATGCATCAAGGAAACCATTTCATCTGCATTACATGCAATTTATAGCATTCAAATTAGTCATGAGTGCCACTGTGTTCTTGACAAGAATACCAGAGTTCCTGCCAGCAAAGAAAATCCTCAGAAAATTAGATTTTTACTCTAGGAAAATAACCTAGCCCTGCAGAAATGTGTTGTTTCAAAAGTACAGATGCGCTGAAGAGTTTCCTTATCAACTCCACTAATGGAGAGCTCTGAGTGGTTTTCCCACTTGGTCATGTTATAATGACTTGGCAGGGAATTGAGAATAACCCACATTTATTGCTGGCTAAGCAAAGCTGACCCTGCAGGTATAATGTACTGGATCTATCCTTTAGTTGGCTGTTATGTTGATTGATGTTTAGTGCTTTGCTGCAATGGCTGGTTTCAGGACAATTGCATCTATTTCAGGCAAATCCTTTGTGTACAGGTGATTTGATGGCTTCTCTGTCAAGTTTGATGTCAGAGGAGATTCAAGTAGTGAATGAGGCAGTAACATCTGAGCCTCTGGCAGATAAGCCTCTTGGAGTATTTGCTGAAATACCCAACATGTGCACATACAGACAAAATGAGAATGCTGTTTTGTTCATCTCAGGACAAAACGGTAGTGATTCACTGTCACAGGACCATAACTTGGGAGTAGACACTATAGGAGAAACACAATTGATGGAAAACTCTGTGCATAAATCAAACCCAAGTGAAAGTGATATATCAAGAAATCAATCACTTGCAGCTGGAGAGTGTGAAGCATCAGCTTCTGGGATACAATTGGATGGCCCAGTTTCTCTTTCCTCCCATTCCAGCTATACACAGAGTCAGATATCCCTTGATGACCTTGGATCAAATGAAGATTTGCATCATTTGTCATTGAGCAACTATGGCCCAAAGAGCATGGAAGAACTGAATCGTTTAATAATGGACTCCCCAGATGATGATGATTCTGACTCACATTCATCTTTAAATCTTGGTGTGGAAAGTATCAATTGCCTTAAGCAGAGAATCAGGTCAGGAGAGGACAAGATCTGTGAAATGGAAGAAACCATATCCAAGTGAGTTGTATTGAGGGTTTGTCCATTTTCTTCAGTACCATTTGCATTCCAGATCTGACTCTTGAATGTGGAATTATTTCATGCTTCTTCAGTATGCCAGATTTCTGAGAATATGACCTGACTAATGTTATATTCAAGCTAAATATTAATTTTTTTTCTTAATCAATCTGTTCTCAGGGACTATTTTTATTCCAAGACTACATTTCATGATGCTATATGGTGTAAAAGTATCTTATAAATCAATGTATCTTGCACCTTTGGGAAGGACTTAACTGCAGGCTTTCTCTCTTTCTGTGGTTTGTGCTTTGTCATTAAAAACATATTTTTAGTCTGTTATAATGTGGTTTTCAGCTTGCGGAGTACCACTAGTGATATGCAGAAGGAGTTAAGAGACTTTGAAAAGTGCAAGCAGGATCTGGATACCAGCAAGAAGAATTGCAAAAATCTAGAAGAGAAAGTAGATAAACTCCAAAGAATGATGGAGGAGCTCAGGCAAACCAAGGAACGAGAATTCACTTCAGCAAAAAGAGATTGGGAAAACCAGTTTGAGATGGTGAGTGTCTTTTCACAAATGTTTGGGTCATAGTGGATTCCTATTTATGTGCTTCTGTATGTTATTGCAGTTATATCTTGCAAGTTCTTAGTTTATGGCTTTGACCAGTTTGTAGTGTGATGAGTCATTATCATCACAAAGTTCCAAGTACATAATAGATTAACGTTTGCTGTCACTGGAATGGAGACAGCACACAATGCCTAAATTTATCATTTAATACCCACAGTGACAGCAATTTGATGGCTTCCTTTTTGCTTGAGATGCCCTTCAGTGTAACATTGGATTGTGAGTAGTGAGTGTATTGTATTTCATCATTAAATATAGTGGTTTATTGCAAACAAAATTTCCAATTGGTCATTTGCTTTTTTTTTTTCAAAAGGCCTGTGGGATTGGATGTGTGAAGGAATATCCACCAATCTGCATTTTTGAATTATTGGTTTCTGGATTTCATGACAAACAGTCCTTAATGAAGTGTCTTTTCTTCAGCTCCGAAAGCAGAAACAGGCAGCTGACAAGGATAAGGAAATGATGGTGATGCGATATGCCCAGAGTGAACAGATGGTGATTGTTGTGAGAAATGAGAAAGAAAATCTTGACAAGAGAATGCGAGAGATGTTCAAAGAGCGTGAAGGATTGAACAACCGAATTAAGATTTTATCAGCTGACAAAGTGAAACTTGGCAACAATTTGGATGCAAAGGTGAGAATATTCTACACTTGCACTTAAAAGGTTCTTTCTACATGAGAAACTCATTCAGCTTGTCTGATTTTAGTGTTCTGAGGCATGTCAGCTGGTGAAGGAGATTGAACAACTGAAGGAAGAGATCAACAGCAGAGATATCAAGATCAAATGGGGTCAGAATAAGCTCAAGTCTGAGATTGAGAACCATAAGGTGAAGTCCAGTAACTGAATCTTTGTAATAATAGACTCACACTGGTCTGCAAGTACCAGTAATAGTGAAAGTCCATAGAAAATTTTTTTCTTACAAATTTGAAGTTATTTTTTTTAAATGTACAGTCAGTCAACTTCCATTGTACCATCACTCAGTATTATATCAACCTACTTATTGCCAACCTTTTCATATGGACATATCTTCCCCAACACTTATAATAGGGAATGCAGTTAATTTAATTTGACATCACACTCATTATAGTGCCAAAATCAGTGATGACCAGCTGTGGTGTCTTACTGAGGGCTGACTACATATTTTGAAATTTTATACATGTCCATGCACAGAATTATGGGATGGATTTTTTGTGGGTGAAAATTCACTTTATTAACATGCAATATCTGTCATTCATGAAACCTAGCTTTCAGTTGATGAGGAATAGAAAATAGTCATATTGCTCAATTACAGGAAACACAAGGTAAATTTGAGAAGGCATTGCGTCAGATCCAGGAGACCCGCGAGGAGGCAGAGCAGATTCGTCGTGACTGTCAGAACATGCTACGGAACTATAAAGAGTCAGAACAAAATCAGCAGAAAGGTAAAAGTTCACTTGGTATCATTTTGACACCTTTTTATTCCAGGATTTTCTAACTATGGACTGTTGATGTATTCCTCTACAATAGGGAAGAAGAAAAACTTGGGAGAAAGTAGACTATCATAAGGGATGATATGATGAAGGCTATATAATAAAGAACTGTAATGTAGTTTGGTCCTTTCCAAAAGATATTCTCACCCCCATAATTCAGGTAAATGGTCAAACATGAAAAAAAGTTAATTTGTCATCCTTTCACCAGTGTTAAAAATTTTTTTTATCATTTTCAGTACTATGCTATCAGTACTTGAAACCTTACAGAGGTACATGTTGGCATTGAAACCAGGTCTATCTGTGTCTCATCTGTCTGGATTAGTGCAATAATTTTTCCATTCTGTAAATCTATATATCTTGGAGTGTAAGTCCATGAAAATAAGTATGTTGGCACTTATAATCCTAAATGAGTAGGCCTACTAGAGACCCTCAAAAAAAAACCTCCAAATTTGGATGAGTACAGCAGTACTTCATTTGCTTGAATCAGTCCAATAAATGCTTGGTTGGTCTGTGTGCTTTGGGCAATGCTGTTATACCTTCAGCCCTGTGGGAGTAAGCTCATCAATAGCCATTAAAGGCATTTCCCCATCTGGGGTTGTGTTCATTGGTACCTTATTTGTTGGAATCACTCTAGTTGTGCTCACTATAGGTTGGTCTATTTTGAACAATATATAATGAAAACCTCCATATAATACATTTTTTGTTCTGGTCCCTTGGACTTTATTATAATGCAGTTTGACTATATATTTCTGATTCAATGAAAAATTCTGCACTCATGATCCCTATGGTGAAACTATAATTTTCTACTTCCTGTCATCCAAGGATAGATTTTTTCATGGCTACATTTGTTTTATTATCCCACAAAAATTTAATTCATCATTAGATAGAAAAAGATGTAACTCAACTCCTCTTGCAATATTGTATGGGACATGTTGGAATATTCCAGCTGATCAGGAGAGGGAAGAAGAGGCACAAGCTCTGATCAAGGCTCATGCTGACTTAGAAGCTGTGAGAAAACGACAAGAAGAAACCTTGGATGAGAATAATTCCCTCACAATAAAGGTATGTATTTCCAAAAGTCAGTGACTCTTCTGCTGCCTGTAGTGCTGCAGATTTATGTTTTCTCTGCCTGAAGGAAAATAGAACTGCTATAACCGTACAAAACTATTTCAGTGATGATCTATTCTGACCATGATCTGAACCTGTCAATCTTCATTTGTAATATAGGTCCATCAGATGGAGAGGGACCGTTTGGAAGCAGAGCAGCAAATTGGAAATCTAAGGGAAACAATCTCTCAGTTGCGACAGGAGATCTCTGAATGGAAAGACAAAGCTTCAAGCATTGATGAGTTACACATGAAGCTGCAAAAGTGAATTTCTTTGCTGAATTTTTTTAAATGTCTGGTGCTAAATGTCCAACTTATCAATACTAATTGCTTGTGAATGGGCCAACCCTGATATTCCATCATTACCTGTAGCAAGTTCTATTACTGCACCATTGAGTCTGATGGTAGTTTGTTATGGTCTGGTTTTAGGGAGAAGGAGAAGGTTGTACAATTGCAAGGAGAAATGGAGCAGATCCGGCAAGAAAATAATGATCTTCAGACTGACATGGTGGTTTGTCGACAAAAGGAAGCAGAACTTCTGGAATTCACTGCCAAACTCACTGAGAAGAATGTTTGCCTCCAGTCAGAATTCCGCTGCCTAGAAGCCAAGGTATGGTTAAACCTAAATGATACAATGGAGGTGATGTTTGCTGTCATATCTTAAGAATGAATACACCCTTTTTTCTTGAAGTCCAACCATTTGGAGCAAGAGAATAAGGCTCATGTGAGACATATGGAAGAGTTGGAACGTGAAGTGGATTCCTTACGAAGGGATGTTGAAGCAGTAAAGGCTGAGAAAGAAAAAGTTGAGAAAGAGAAAGAGGAAATGCACCAAGAGGGAGAAAAATTGCAGCAGAAATTAATGGAGGCTAAGGATGAGATTCGTGTCATGAAGAAGCGCCATTCCTCCAGCCTCAAGGTACCATGACTTTATCATCTTCCAAAGCATCAGAGTGAGGCAGTGGATGATGATGTTATGTGCTATAAGCACACATCCACTAAGTTCTTTACTATTTTCTTCTAATTATAGGATCTGAGTCGAGAGCTTCAAGGGACCCAGCAGCGTCTGAAAGCCATTGAACGAGGGAGGTTGCCACACCCTTGCTTGCAAAATGGGTACATGGAATCAGATAGGATTCCTAGAGCCTCACGGGACAAGAATGGTCCTGTATCTGGGAAAGATACTACCTCCAGTGGTGAAGCAAGAAAGTCCCATTCTGGAGATCGGAATGTTCAGATTGCACTGCCAGCTAAAGCACAGGTATGCTCTCAGTTCAGAGCTATTTTTCATATTTCATGATATTTGAAAAGTTCTATGCAAAGATTGAATTTATGAATGTAATATTAGCCATCTGAAGGAGATCCAAATGGGATAGAGGGAGGAGAGAACCAATTGCCAAGTACTCAGCTCCTCATTGAAAGGATTGTGAAACTTCAGCAGGCACTGGCACGACGCAAGGAAAAGATTGAGATCCTTGAGGAACATCGACGGCATTTGATACGTGACCTTCGAAAGAAGAGTCAAATCATACAGCATTATGTGCTGACAGAAGACATAGATGCTATGTCCACTGCTGAGAGGGATCGCAATAAGGCATGTCTTCTCCATTTCATCTCTTTTTTTCAGGAATCTTTCTTTCCACCAAAGGATCTTATTAGAATTCCTGACTTATGATGGCCAAAGAACCAGGACTCTTGAAAACAGTTTGCAATAGACCTAGAGCCTGTTTCTATGGAATGAGATAACACTTCATGGTTTCTCTCTTTGAGAGAAGTAACTGGTCATGAGGATTGTTTAAAACTTTTATCTTATAACTCATTTTTAACTTGTCATCCTTGCATTTGAAAGCTGAGAAACTGTATATTCTTCTTCCCATGCTGCTTAGTACAAGAAGCAGGTATGTTTCTCTTGACAACCATTTCATATTTGTTTTCAATAGAGATTTAATGGTGCTGAATTATCCCAGTATGTAGTATTCCAGTTATCCAATAGGAAAATTCTTGTCTCTTATAACAGTTACTGGTGACCTTAACTCCCCCATTAAAAAAATTATATATTTATTGAGTAGGTCAGATTTTAGTGAAAAACCTGGACTTGCTTTCAATAGAGGAATTGGAAAAGTGGGAAAATTTGTTTAAATTCCTTTATTTTTATTCAGCCAGGAATAAGAAGGCAGGATTAGGATGAGGGCCCTTAAGGTGAAATCAGACAATATATAGTTTATTGAATCCCTATCATCAGCTGACCCTTCATGATTCATTTCCAGTGGCCCCCCCTCCTGCTGGTACTTTAATACTACCAATAAACCAGTAAACTGGTAAATTAATCTTGTCTCTTTATTCTCATCACCTCTTCCTTGCCCCAATCATCAATGTCTTCTAGCTTTTGACATTAGCCCTTTCCCTGGTGCAGACATGTCATGATGACTCTCCTGATCAGTGCCTGAAATATTGTATAAAATATTAGAGAAAGATTACTGTAACTTGCCCCTATTCAACCTTAAAGCTACATCAATGCCCGATTTAACCCATTCCTTGGCATGACCTATTCTGATTTTTCGCACTACACCAGGCAAAGATCTGGAAAGTCTTGACATTGTGATACATCTGCACCAGACACATGGTTAATGAGCTTGCTGATAGTACATAGGGTGTCTGAAAAGGTCATACCTCCCTCAATCCTCAAAATAATCACTGTTTCGAATATATGCACTTGTGCCATCTGGAGGGCAATGATTGTATGTCCCTTCTGTAGAGGACTGTATGATGTAAACTCTCTTACAGCATATTGAATATCTTCACCACTGATGAAGCATATTCAATGAAGATGGTATTTATGCTGACCAAACTGATGATAGTCAGAGGGGGCTATGTTTAGACTATATGATAGGTGGCTAGCAAGAGCCCACTGAAAATTGCCAATAACTGTATTGTTTTGAATGGCAGCTACAGGAAGATGTTGGCTTCTACAGAAGGAATATGCAATCGTTGCCCTCCAGTTGGCAGAAGTGCATATATTCAAACAGTGATTATTTTGAGGATTGAGGGAGGTATGACCTTTTCAGACACCCTATGTACTCTCAGCAAGCTTATTAACCATGTGTCTGGTGCAGATGTACCACAATGTCAAGACTTTCCAGATCTTTGCCTGGTGTAGTGTGAAAAATCAGAATAGGTCATGCCAGGAATTAGCCCTCACCCCCTCCTTAGCCTTAGGGCTAAGGGAGGTATGATGTTTCTGTGTACTGATTTTGGTAGCAATGAAAACAATGGTTTAGTTTTTATAACATGTTTCTGGAAACTTTTCAGACACCCCTCATATTTGTTATGACTTGGTGGCTATTGTGTTTCTGCATCTGCTTTCTCCATGAATTACCTTAGGCTCTCTTATTTCAATATATGGTTATCTTCATTGGGATCAAACCTTTTTGAAGGAAAAAAAAGCTGATGTTTCAGCATATGCTTTCCATAAATTAGACCTTAGTTTCAACAGGGCCTATTTTATTGTGCATTAGAGACTTTGCCTGACAGGGAAGGGTGGTTTTTATTTTTAAGATGTGATGGTAATAATTTCCTTGATCTGGTCATGTGATATGTTCACCTAAACCTGATGACTGAAGGCTGCTGATGTCCACAGGTAGAAATGATGAGTAAGAGAGGGATCATGGCTTCATTGTATCGGAGTCGTCAAGCAGATGGAACCATGACTCTGGATTTATCCTTGGAAATCAATCACAAGCTCCAGACAGTCTTGGAAGACACACTCCTGAAAAATATGACACTCAAAGTAAGTCTCAAAGAACAATGGGATTTTTTTGTCTTCATTGGACTATTTAATGACTTTCAACTAATTTGAATCCCTCTTCTCAACCCAGGAGAATTTGAATACACTGGGGAACGAGATAGCCCGGCTGACTCAGGAAAAGCAGGAGCAATTGAAGAAAGGCATTTCCACTTAGGAGAGAAAATACAAATGACCTGTGATAGTGAAGGTTTGATGGAGTGTGGGTGAACTCCTATACTTGTTCACTTCCATTCCCCTTTTCACCTGGTGCTAGACAAGGCAGGTTCCCTAGTCCAGCAGCACATGGTTAATGCATTTCTTGAGGTCCTCCTGTCCCTTGTGACTGAGCTTGTTATCTGGTTCCCTCAATGGTTATTGTACGTCTTGTGATATCAGTCCAGTCGTCCTGTATGAAGAGGGTTTTGTAATGACCAAATCACTTTCTTGATATGATTGAAAGAGATTTTTTTTGGGATATACTCTATATGATACCCTCTGAAAAGGTGAGGAAGATGGAAGAATGACTTGACCTGGTGAATCTCTTGAACTGTTACAGAACTCAACCAAGCAGGATGAAATAATGTGACTCAGGTTTCCATAGAGTCATTCAATCAAGGATCTGATGTGAAAATAAACAGTGCAAAGGCCATAGTAGATGGTAAATATGCTGCACATGTTTTACACTCTTGGAAGATCCTGCTCATATATCATGTGCCAAAGGAAATACCTGTAGTGCAGTAAATGATAACAGTACTTACATACAACGTGCTATCTAGAGGGGCCCAAAATGATAGCCAATGCCCTCTCTAAGTGCACACAATTATAATCTCCAACCATTATCTTACTGGTATTATTGATTGCATTTTCTCCTGTACAATATTCACTCCTGACTTGTTTCAGCCATGCATTTCATAGAAGTTGCTAGTGATCTGGTTCTTTAAGCAGGAAAGGAGAGTTTTTTTTCTTGTTTGTAATTTTCTTACTCATTTTTTTATTTTTCATGAATTTTGCACCTTTGAAAACTTAAAGTTTCCTAAGAGGAACATTGAATTTGAGGAATTTAGTAAAAAGATTATTTTAGTTTTCCTTTAGCTCTTACTGGCAGTGTCAGGATGGTTTGAAATACATTTTGAAAAATTTTTTTTTTTTTTTGGAGGAAGCATTTCCTCCTTGGACAAGCACTAAAGCTTTACTTTTGTTGAGTTTCCTAGGTTTTTCCTTTTTTCTCGTTTTTAACATTCTCCATCATTACCAAAATCTGCACTGTCTTGGAAAGTCTCCATCATTACTGTTGCCAATGATATTTGATGTACATTCAATAAATATTGGCAATGCATTCTTTTTTCCCTTTAAATGAAAGCTATGAACTTCATACCTCCACATCCCTTCAAAATACTCCCTCTCAAAATGTGAAAACTGCTGGATTAATGTAATTAAAGTGTCCCTGGGACTCTGAGATAATGTCACAGTTGTAAATTTGACACCCAAGCCGAATTCCTAAATGTACAAATGCTCTTTCTTGACAAGCCTTTATTTGAGAACTCAACCATGCAGCAAATTACCAAAAGGCATGGGACATCAGAGAATGAATTACAGGATCAGAATATTTTCCACATTCTGATTTTGGTTCAGTATGTCAATTTATAGCCAAAAATTATACTTCATTTTGAGTATCATGAATAAGTTACTGATGAGAATGAAATATCATGTGTATGTTGAGGGATAGTACTTTGAAGTGATATGCTATTAGTGAAGGTATGAACTTAGTTGTTATGTTGAAAATTTTTACGATGATTTGCAAAACTTATTGAATGTTTGTTTATTGGTAATTAATCATTTTATCATTTATTTCTAGATTTATATGTGGTGGTGGATGTTCAGACTATGAGCACAATGTAACAACTGTTCATCTTGTTTTTCATTTTTCTTACAAATGTGTTCTCTTATTTTTCAATTTGCCCACTGTTTTGTGGGCAGGGAAAGAATACGAGAGGTCTTTGTGCATGTTACAATACTCTTCGTGATTTTGATGTCACTGATGGCTGTGTTGTATTGTTTCTCTTCGGTGGAAACTTGTCTGGTCTGTTATCATTTCAAACTGCTTGTGATCCAGATATCTATGCCATTCACACTATGGTTATTTATTCCCATTAAGAATGGTTCACATCATATGGATGATGGATTAAAATTATTTTTTCTAAATATCTTTTGGAATTTTTCATTATCTATTCCCTCTGCTACACATCCCATTAAATACCATATTGCAACATGAATGGTTGGCAAATTTTCTATCATCTCGTAGCCAAAGCTGTTCCTTTCCTCCATGCCAGTAAGACCATGCATCAAAATATAACAATATTTTTTATCACTTGAATTATTGGAGGGATTCACATGTAGCTTTAGCAAAAGGCTTGAAAGAACTTAGACTGAACATTTCTATAAAGAAAAGTTGACCCTTCTGTGTTAACAAGTCACAACAGGTGGAAATCACAATTATAAGAATGACGTATATATTTTTAAATTTCGCTGGAGAATACTAATATGGAAAAGGGTGTAAAATGAGATGCTCAGAAGAAAACTGAAAATCATATCAGGAGGCATGAAGTAGTTGATGCTACAGGTTGTTTTTTGACAGAGAATGAGAACAGAAACTGTCAATAATATCTTGACATAATAGGAATGGTCAGAAGTGGCTTATTACTTGAATTTCTAGACAGATTATGCCTATTACAGCTTGGTCCTTCCAATCCTATGTTACTTTTTAAAGTAATTTCAGCTACATTTTCCTTGGTCTACTGGGCGTTTTAGCTATTGGACTATTCATGATTAGACCTTTTGTAGCAAACCCTGGAGTCACAAGTATTCCGGTTAGAAGTCTTTCCATCATAACTCACCCTGTCCAGTGGAGAGAAAGCCTTCAATTCTTCTGAACTATGTGGTCAAAAGAATTAGGAGTCACTGTGAATTATTGCAAATTGTTCTTATGCCAAGTACAGGCTGGGAAAATTCTCCAATTTTTGCGGCGGTGCTTATTTTACCAATGATAGGGTCCCTTGAAAGACTCATTTGGAAGATTTATTAATGTAGCACTTTGAGTAGTTTTATGTGAATGGGTGGAACTAGCAAATTTCGCTGTATTACCAACGATGAAAATCGGCTCTCTGAACATGGAGAGTTTCATATTCGGTTCCCCCACTGAAGTATGATATTTGACGAAAAATTTCCCGGCATTTGACAATAGTTTCGGGATGCCTGTCAGAGCCTCCGAACAAACAAACTCGCTGCGCTGCGAGGTGCGACGGAAATTTTATTTAGAAACATGAGGTCCCTCTACAACTTTGTACTGATCCCCCAAAATTTTGACTCCTTTGTGTCTGTAGTAGTGTATCGGCAAAGTAAGAACGAAATAAGGTACCCCGGGGGGGTCCGAATTTTAAAACGCCACCTAGCCTATGACCATCCCCGAACCAAATATGATGAAGCCATGCAAAGTTCGGTCGGACTGGGATCAGAGGCGTGGCCGTGCATAAAGGACAGACAGACACACACAAACACTCTGGAATATGGTATAGATACACATATAGAGAGAGAGAGAGAGAGTGGCTGAATTTTAACATGTTTGAAGGGAACTGATTATAATTTCCATTTTCTCTCAAGTGCTTTTTACTTGAACTTTGTCCATGCTTTGGCTTATAGTTATTAATTTTTAAAGTCACCTTCAAAATTTAAATGTATCCAGGTCAGTTTATTTCCTCGCAAGTGTAACATGATGTTAATTGGTTTTGGATTTTTAAAATTGTACCTTTTTACAACGAAAAAATCAGCAGTCCTCCGTTACGTTTCTGACTTTTGGGTACCATTCCAAGCAATAATTTCGGATTAGAACTTTGGATAGCAGCTTCTGCTGAAATTAATAGAGGTATGCAAAACACTAGATGTTGATCTTGCTCTTTTTTTTCCTATACAAAATATTTACTTCGGGACCTGCAGAAAAGATTCGAAGGGGGCACCGTTCTTACACACCTGGGGGACTTGGAAGCGATGTGCGCTTCCGATGGTGTTCATCTCTCCAAGGAGGGACCATAACAGTTGGGGTAGCAATTGCGAAGGAGGTGCAGTCTTGGATTGTAGGCCTGGGGGAATTACTCGCGGGCAAAGAACTGCCACTACGCGTGGTTCGCTGCCTCGACGTACTGGTTTCGTGAAAGGGCAGGGTAATGATTGGCTCAAGTGTTTCCACAAGAATGCGCGCAGCTTGCGTAATAAAATGAATGAGCCGTAGGGGAGGGTACTGGTAATAGGTCCAGACGTCATCGGAGTCTTGGTGTCTCCATGAAGGAGGTTCAGACTCAAATTAATTATGGGTCGATTGAACGTTTATCACGATCGACCAGCCAACCTGAAGAATGATGACGCACTTCATACATAATACTTTCGGCGAGATGTCGAAGAAGGTTTCGTTCTTAGGAGATTTTCACGTGCTTCATATAAATTGATGGAGAGGTGGTGGGAGGGGGGGGGGGGTTTGGTGCGAGAGGATGCGGGAGTTCCTTTTAGCGATCCAGTTCCTCTCGCTTCCTGCCGCACGTTGAAGAAGCGATTGGACAAGCCGCTTTATTCCATGTAGTTTTCGCAGCGGATAACAATCTGGCGCATTATGTTTAAATCCAAGGTAAACTGGAGGGCTCAGATCACTGTAGTATCTCATGGGTAAAAGGATTCTTATGGCAACAGGACAGCAGATTTGAGCACGACCAAGGAATGCGTTTCCGGTTTTGATCGGGAAGAATGGCTGCGAGGGCGAACGATAAATGTGGTTCTGCTACGCTCAGTGAAGGTTTACAATTCCCAAGGAGTCGAAGAGAGTGCTCAGACAGTCAGAAATTATCGATCGAGATTGTGGAAGCGACAAATTAGATGAGCAAAACGGGAGCGAAAGGAGCAGCTAGCTATCGTTGCTAAGAATAGTCCAATATTCAGGCTTTTTCTTTTATAAATATGGAAGGTAATTGCTTATAGCGGAGGCATGTTCAGAATTCCAAAATATTTATTCACTTCCGTGTTCGCGAGGGAATCCGACGTCCTGGCAATGACAGAGGTCACCTCGGGGGTGCATCGAGGATATCTTTATCAAATAGGATGATATCACGATAGGGAAGCTTGGCAGCAGGAAAAGGGAACCGGCGCAACAGGATTCTTGTGAGTGTCAAGGAACTCGGGAGGGAAGTAGCTGGTTTGAGGGAAGAAAGCCGAGATTATTAGGAAATGGAGAAGTGTTTGAAGTCAGAGTCGAGGGTGGAATCCCCTAGGGCCTTGGACCACTTTCATTCCAGGTTAACCTTAACGAT